CCCAAGTGGTCTCATTCATACACCAGGCCTGGGCTCTGGGTCTATTCAGGATCTGGTGGCCCCGGGTCCTCTCACTCACATGCCAGGCCCGTGCTCCGGGTCTATTCGGGGTCCGGCAGCCCCGGGTTGTCTCACTTACACGCCGGGCCTGGGCTCTGGGTCGATTATGGTGACATTTCTATAGATTTCTGTCCTACTGCCCTGAGTAGCCATGACTTCCACCTCCCACCTGCCCTAACACAGGCCACTGATAGTCCATGTGTGCTTCCTAAGCATCGGTCATTACTCAGACTGAAAATTTCTTCCAGACCAAGTCCCAACTCTCCACAGTGTGACCCAGCAGACTGCAACCTGGCCCAACTTCCATTCTCATTGCCTCTCTTTTCTATTTAGTTCCTGTTCTTTCTTGTACACACCTCACATTCCGCCCATTCACTGTGTTCCTTGGCCTCAGATGTCTTTTTATGGTGTATCCACCATGGAACAGGTACTGTGTTGGGATTAAAGCCAAGATAGACAAGGTCCTTATTCTCATGGATGGTCCTTCTGCCACTCCCAAATACAGTTCATATCTATACTTTACTTGAAATTATAATTCCATGCATGAGCATTAACTTTTCCTGTTATTTTTAATTTTTTTTTGGCAGAACCGGGGATTGAACTCAGGCCCTTGTGCTTATTTTACTGAGCTATCTCCCAGGCCCTATTCCCATTATTTAAAAAAAAAATTTTTATACCCTCTTATTTATTTTTGAGAGAGGGTTTCTCACTATATAGTTCAGGTTGTCCTTGAATTTTTACTATGCAGCCCAGTATGGCCTCCAACTCATGGCAGTCCTCCTGCCTCAACTTCTCAAGTGCTGGGATTACAGTTCTGTACCACCACATCTGTCTTTTTCTCTTTTAATACTTCTAGAGCATCTGGTACAGTTTGTATGACTTTTTTTTTTTTAATGTGTGTATGAGACAGGGTTTTGGAATGTAGTTTAGGCAGGTTTTGAACTTACCAAGATACTCCTGCCTCAGCCTCCCGAGTGTTGGGGTTACAGGCATGTGCCTAACCAGCTGGGTTTGTGCGAACATGTATATACCTAACCCATGTGTGTGTGTTCTGGTCTAGAATATACACTTCTTGCAGGTAGAAACTAGGGTGCCATTCATTATGGACAATTTACAGTCTTCACACAAATAAGAAGCTTAATATCTTAAAATATACCAAATCTATTTCAATCTGATTCCATTTATTTTTTATTATTTTTTTGCTTCCATTTATTTTTTATTTTATTTTTTTTGCGGCGGCGGGGGGAATCGGGGATTGAACTCAGATCCTTGCACTTGCCAGGCAAGGCTTGTTCTACTGAGCCATCTCCCTGGCCCAGCTTTCATTTATGATAAAGAAATAAACAATAAAATGTGAACTTTTATCTATTTTAAAGAAATATCCTTTTTTGTGTGTGTGTGGTACTGGGGATTGAA